AAAACGTATGATTGCAACCACATGACAACTTAATATAACAGATCCCTGAGCTGTTCACATGGCAAATTCTGATTAATAGTGTCAATAATCATTGTGAATTTTTAAGTTCTGTGAAGCACTCCATTTTACCCTACCACTGGAGCATAAAACTATAGTTATTTATTAAATGAATGCTTTATCACTTTTTTGCTCCTATTGGTTTTACATATTGATGAAGATTAGTTTATTCAGATACAGGATGTAAGAGTTTTTTTTTTCTGAATATTTAGAAGGTTTGGGATGAAATTCTTGAATAAGAAAATGAATATGAGTTAGACTGAAAGTCCATATATATATATATATATATATATATAAACCAGAACTTTCCATCTTTACATACATACCTACACACATGAGTACACACACACTGGTCTATTTCACTCTATCCACATCTGGTAATGATGTGGGCATAATGAAAAGATTTCAGATTCCCTCCAGAAAGCCCTTAGGCTACAAGCAATGCATCCTACATCTAATAAACCCATCTTAGAGAGATCTCCCATATGGCAAAGCCCTGTTTTGCTTTATTCCAACAAATTGGTCCATGGATTCCTCTCACAGCTGTTGCTACTATTGTTTATGATACATTGAATCCTGGCAACACTCCAGAGGCCAATGTGTAACAGATTTAGGATATCCCATCACCGAGTTGTGTGCACAAGAAGTGATGTCACCTGTGAGAAGGCCTGAACACCCAGGAAATGTAGAAGCAGGACACATGAGAACCAGTCGACTAATGGAGCAGGGGGACAAAGAAATGTCATCACAGTAATCAGGACAATGAGTGGTAGAAAAAAAAAATCAACATTGGTTTCTAGGTCAGGTTGCCACTTAGGCAACGCAGACTCTGAATAAGTTAAGAAACAAACATTTTGTTCTGAGAATTACCCCTCCGTTACTCTCCATCGAAGTGTGGTTTGAGATGAGAAACACTGGTATCCCTGTACTGGTACTGAAGATGCAGGTTGGGACTTTGGCTCCAAGAGAACCATCACACTAGGGTAGAGGACTGGGAGACTTTCTAAAGCAGTTTTCCCTGCTGCTACAGCATGTAGAAAGCTTACCACATGTGCCACATAAACACTGCTAATCTGTAAAAGGAAAAATACTTTTCTTAATGATGACTTCAATTCACTGGCTTTGTGTATTCTGCAAGTTTCCTACTTGATTTATAACTCCCATACATAACAATATCCTTCTTGGATTTGCTTTGACACGCCAAAATTAGTAGATTTTGTCAATGTACTAAAAATTAAGCAAGTTAAACTAAAGTAGTGCTTGAAAAATAAAGCCTGTTTAGTAGCAAATCCATAAATGGTATTCATATGTTTAAAACAACTTTACAGCCATCACCAGGAAATGGAGCTGAAATTTAAATTAGCAATATTAGCAAACTAGTAGCCATTATTACCAATATGTAGAGATAATGTGAACTCTTCCTATTTGTCTGCATGAGCCCCAGGGACAGAGTTCCCACACAAAGTTGACCAACATCATCACTAGGCTTTCAAAGATTCCATCCCCTGGAAGTTTCATTTTACATGCCCTTCCCACTTCCCTTTCAATCTCAGGCAGGTACTTTTTGCAGTTTAGAAGAAAAGACTCTACCTGTCCTGTGTTGATCTGAGATTCCTGTTTGCGACTTAGGGGCTATCTCTTCCTCAGTTTCCTCTTTTTTCATGATCTTTCCTTCATAGCCATGCTTTCCCTCCTTTATTTTCTTCTGAACTTTCCCCTCCCCCATGTCTTGAATATTAATTTTAAAGATATCATTTTCTATACTCTAAGAAAAAGGAGGATTTTTTTTTAAAACAGAGGACAGGCTCAGGAGAGCAAGTGACCATTAAAAGATAAGAACTTCGAAGCTTCTCAACCTACAACTCTCAGCTTTTTGTTCCTATGAGGGCCAGAAATGGCTGCACATTCTAAACAGGCTAAAATGAAAAAGACAACGAAGGAGAGAGACTTCTGGAAGGAGAGCCACTTGGAGTTCTTCCCTTCCTTCCCACAACTTATCTCCAGTAGTGATCTCTCTTCTGGAGGAAGAGAATCTGCTGAAAAGTTTTCAAGTCCATAGAAAGGATAATGCTATGAAATAAAATCCCATTAACAAAAACAAGGCCAATCAAAACAACACCAGCACACACACACACACACACACACACACACACACACACACACACACACACACCCAGGGCCTTTTCATTCATTGCTCAAGTGTTTTCCATTGTACTGTACCCCACCCACTCTTCCAGGCTAACACATACCACCAGGCCCATCTCACACCTGAACTTCTGGTTGAGCCAGAAGAGTGCTGGAAGTTTGGGGGCAGGGCCAGGCACCCAGCAAGGCCTCAGGCAGCAGGCACAGCCTCTGTCTGCACAGTGCTCGAAGCACCCCTGGGAAGTTGGGTAGGAGGGGCAGCTGGGAAGGCCAGAGACAATCTGGGTTGATACCAGGCAGGTGTCCCTCATCTTTCACCAAACTCTAGTCCTAGCCACATAGTTTGAAGGTACCAGAATGTCCTAATTCCAAGTCCCAGCTTCCAGTTAAACCAGAACCTGAACATTCAGAGGAGGACCCAGGAATGTGACCAGCCAGGTGCAGTGACTGTCACAGTTCTGAGAACTGGCTGTCACAGTTCTCATCACTGCGTCCATGCATGCATTCTAAGCTATCTGATGGCGTTTGTTAGAGAAACACTCAGAAATTCTGTTTAAAAAGAAAGTCTTCTGTTCTAGTCTTTGATATGAACTGTCAATAATGACTGTCATTTGTTGAACACTTCCTACAGTTGGGTCTACACTCTGTGTAATAGGTCACTTAATCCTAACAACCACCCTACGCAGTAGGGACTATAATTACCTCTCCTTTACATACTATACAACTGACACTTGGGAGGGTAAAATAACTTAATTCCGGCTACTAAAGAGACAGATCCAGAATTCTATAGCAGATAAAGCTGCCTCTTCACATGTCTAGCCAAATTGTATAGAAACCTTCTTCTATACCTTTGACAATATTCTTCCTGGATAGGACTTTAAGGATCTCTGACCTTGTTTGGTTAAGGAGTAGAATTTGGTAGCAGGAGGCACATAGTTTACCTCTGTCTGTCAAGGTGCCTGAGGCCAGAAGTAGATCGAAGAAATCAGATAAGCAAGTGGCAGAGATAATCCACTTTCAACACAGAATTGGAAGGGGCGGGCAAGTGAACGTGCATTCTTGGCTCATTCTTCACCAGAGCTGACTCTTTTCAGAGTAAAAGCATCTCCTTTCTCTTTCAAGGGCAACCAAAAGATGAAATGGCAGGGTGGCGCACAGTAAATCAGCAAGTAAAGACTTCCTGTGTAATCCTGGTGACCTGGGTTTGATTCTCCAAAACTCTTCCAAGTGTGGAAGGAGAGACTTGACTTTAGAAAGTTATCCTTTGACCTCTGCATGCACACTATGGGACACATACAACACATCACACTAACACAAATAAATAAATAAATAAATATTTTTAGAGGAGAAAGACTGAAAAATGTATCCACCATGACTTCACTCACAGCTCCAAATAGACAAATGTTAACATGGGATGTACTACTAGCATCCACCTACTACTGAAATGCCCACAAACCATTTTTCTGAGAGATGCGGACTTAGGCCAAGGAGAAGCATAAGAAAGTACTAGGAAAGTTTTGAGAGCTTTGTAAGGAAAACAATTGATGTAATCAATGAAGACAGAGTCAACAGTACCTTCAAGTCAAAATGGTTCCTAGCTCTTAGAATAAGAACACTCAATTTTATAGTAGTAGCAATTATAAATGTAATTGATAATCAAGCATGGGTGTATGCATTTGTAACGGTTTTCTCCACGGAGACCTTAAGAATTATCACACTGATGACTTTGGAGCATTAGTACTAAAAGATTCCTGTTGACCCAAATTCCTATCATTATGTCTCCTCCCAGCATCTGGGAGTTTCCTATTGGCAGTTATCAAAGGATTTCCTACAATAACAGCAAGATCTGAGTGATGCTCCTCCCATCCCCTTAAAACTCCCCAGCCACTGAGTTCAGGACTGTTGACAACCCAACCGTATTTTTGCCTGATCCCTTTCAACACTCTGCTACATAATAGCCACATGTAAAATCAGGATGAAAAATCCCATACTATGACTGCTCCAGTCTCCAACAAAAGGCAGCAATCACAGTCAGGTGTGGTGGCACACATTTGTAATCCCAGCACTTGGGAGGCAGAGGCAGGCAGATCTCTGAGTTTGAGGCCAGCCTGGTTTACATAAGTGAATTCCAGGACAGCCAGGGCTACATAGACAAACCCTATCTCAAAACAAACAAACCAACAATGAAACAGTGAGGGGCCAGAGATTATATTATCTACAAAGTGAACCAGCTCTTATGGACATCTAATGACCAAAAAGTATATGTCTAGTTGTTCCATGTACTGATTTTTGACCGGTGCTTACTGACTATCAGTTACGTGGGAGCTACTAGGAAATGAAGATATGCTGAGCACAGAGCGCTATATTCACCGAATACAAATTCTACATTTTTGTCTGGAACGCTAAACTGTCAGCAAGAGGCTGTACCTGCCGAGAAGAAACTTACAACCTAGTGTCCTAGGATTTATTTTTTTTAAAGATGCATCTGACTCACCTCAAAGTGCACAGCCGGAGGGAATAAAACATGCAAGAGTAAGTTTTGTGAAGAGAGCTGGAAAAGGTCCAGGACAAAGCCAATGCGAATAAGATGTGAGAGAAAAAAAGTAAAAAAAAGGACTACCAAGACGACAACATGGCTCCATGTTCCAAGCTGGGTAGAGGGACCACAATAATGCAACGATTGCTAAGAATTCAGCCTGTATCACTTCCATTCCAAGTCACTGTCAAGTTCACCAAAATGTTGTCAAGGTTGGTACATGTTTCATAGAGCCCACTAGCAACATCACATGCCAACCTACAGCTTGGGGTGGAAGCCATACAAAATGTGGTGGTTTTGTAGGTTTTGAACCTGAAAGAAAGCAAAATATGGTGGTTTGAGCTGTATTTTTCTTGGAGGGTTTTTTTTTTTTTTTTTGTAGTCTGGCATAAAAATTCAGAAACAAGCTTGGGAGGTCCAATCGGAAACAATAAGACAGTTTTACACTATACTTTTCAGTAACCACAGGGCGTAGGCTGTCAGGGGAAGGCTACAGATGGTTGTTTTGATTGTCTTCCACAAGTTTTTGAGATGGCCCAGGTAGGCCATATTTATATGACAAAAACTAACCCTGAGGTAAGAAGATTGTCTTCCCCTGAACCAACTGTCTACATGGGGAAGAGAAGGTACAGAGGGTTTTATGCATGTTGTTGTGTTACTAACAAAGCTCACTAGTGAATATTCCTTTGACACAAATGTCTTGGTCAGCCTGCTGAGAGTAGCTCTGGAGCCTGAATCTGAAATGAGAGTAGGCAGAGTGCAGCGTTTGTTTTCTATTACATGTCTGCTATTAAACCTACCGGCAAAAGTGCAGCGTATAGAGACATAAGAAGTGACACAAACGAGGTGACAGAAACAAAAACCCACAGGTGTGGCAAAACTCACTGTTTTTCTTACTACTTATCATTCTTCATCTTAGGATCCCAGGTGGCAGTTTTCAAAAGGATTCCTGTTTGACTGCTCCCTTACTTTCACAGACCCTCTTGTAAGGAGTAGACAGCTAAAACGCTTCATGGAACATGAGAGTGAAGGGCTGCTATCTGGTGTCGTAAGATGTCTCTATGATAGTTTAAGAGTGCATCAGATGAAGGCAAGAAGATAGACCCTCCCCACGCTTGATCTGCAGGTTTCTGTGGGACCCATTCTTTGGCTACGAAACCCAAACACCTCCTTCACTCTTCAGTCTAAGGAAACCAAGACCTCTTCGTTGACAATGGAAACCTTACTTTCTCACAAGGAAAAGAAATTCTTCCTCTCTTATAATTTTGTATTGCTTTCTTTTCTTCTTGGAGGAACATTATAATCATTCATTATAATGTGTCTGACCAGAACAGAAGGAATCATCCCTTTTACCACTGAATGCAAGTATTTATAAGTTATTCTGAAAGCTTGTAATGTGGACCTTATGCCTTTGACACACTTAATCATCCAAGATGGGGCATTGGTTGAACTGTTCCTTTGGAGGAAGAAAGAGAGTTTACAATCTAATTAAATTAGCCTTGCAGGGGGTGATTAATCTTCTTAAGAAAACAAACTGCTTTCAAACACTCCAGTATCCACTGTTTCTGGTGCTTAATAAAATAATTACCAAGAGTTCTGGCCTAGTATGAAGCAGACCAGTCGGGAATCTCAGATGAAGAGCCTTTGTCCTGGCTTGTAGAAATATGACCTGCATGGTAGATAACATTCCATGATTTTGTTTTTGGTTTGAATTGCTTTGGTTTGATTTTTGACACAAGGTCTCAACAGTGGAACCCTAGCTGGCCTGGAATTTGCTATATAGTCCAGGATGACTTCAAACTTTTGGCAATTCTCCTGTCTCAACTGCAACAGTGCTAGGGTTACAGGCATTAACCACCATGCCCACATAGTGTTCTACAATTTACACATACATGTATTTTCTTGGTCTGCCCTCAAATAAGCCTTCCATAATAATGAAGCTTTCCTGGACTTCTATTGGAATTATTCAAACTGGAGGAGTCAAGAGGGAAGTTTAAATAATTGTCTTTTGAAGTAACTATGGTGGCCCACACCTGCAATCCCCTCTCCTGAGGAGCAGAGACAAGATTTCAAGTCAGTCTAGGCTACACAGTGAGTTTCCTTGCAGCTGGTGCTAGGAAATCAGGGCAGTGGGAGGGGGATTTTCATCTATGAAATACTTTTACAAATACATAGGACTTTCATTCAAGGCTATGGCTATGATTTAACCAGATTCATGGAAGCCCATTTGGCCAGGGCATTGTAAGGCTAAAATGTTACCACTAACATCCATACAGATCAGTGTAATCACCATGCATCTGAACCACGCTTCCAAGAAGTGGACAGATAACCCAACTGGTCCACAAGGTCTTCAATTAACTAGCAAATTCTCCAAAGACAGTTTGTTCTGAAAACATCATCTTACTACAGAGCCATGATCAAAACACTTGCACAAAGTTCCTTATGGGAATAATGGGTTCTATTCACTCATCTCCCTAAAGAATTGATGGCATCTTCTATGTAGAGAAAATTAAATTTGGAAGCATCCACCCAATTGCAACTGACTTATAAATACATGCTAAGTAGAAAGTGAAAGACTGAATGTTTCACACTGTTTACTTTACTCATCAGACTCAGTTGTGAGCTCTAAAAAAGATAAATGTTGTAATTTATATTCCAGGGAAGGAGACAAAGAAAGCGATAATTACAATAAAACCTAGAAAATGCTATGAAGGAAGCAAGCAATGGGTACCAGACAGGCTTGAAAGTAGGGACTTAATTTTAAGTATCAGGAAGGAATTGGCAGAATTGATATCACCTGAGCTAAGTTGTAGACATTAGACAAGTAATCAGTGAGGCAGAGAGGCGTCCTAAAGCAGGAGGGATAGAGATGGAAACCAAAAGGTCTTGATAAAACCAAATTTGATGCTAATATTAAGCATTTCCTTGAACTCCCTGAACATTCCCTTTCCACACCACCCCTCGATAAGCACTTCCCAGACATTTATTTCTCTTGTCTCACTTTGCAGTCACAGTGTCACTTGGTTCAATTCCAATTGTCAATTTTCCAGTTGTTCTCAAAGGAAACTGTGACTCACGGAAGTAACATAACTTGTTCAGTATCACCTGACAGTCAGGCTCCAGAGCCCATACTGTTCAGAACACTCTACTACCTCTCAGGGATTCCATAAGAAAGGACTTGTCTTTCCTCTGAAGGCAACAGGAAGACACTAAGAAGTTTAGCCAACTTGGTTGGAGCCTTTAATCCAGCACTTGGGAGGCAGAGGCAGGTTAATCTCTGAGTTCGAGGCCAGCCTGATCTACAGAATGAGTTCCAGGACAGCCAGGGCTATACAGAGAAACCCTGAAAAGTGGGGGTGAGAACAAATAAAAGGAAAGAAAAAAAAAAGAAAGAAACAAAAGAAATTTAGGCAACTCTTCAAAAAGTAAGCATTAATAGTTTTTTGGTTTTAGAGAAATGACTTCTATTCTTTGGCAATTTTTTTAACCCTTTGGATCAATACTTGATTACCACTAGCTAAATCTGATTCTCAACTTTGTTAAGGATGTGATTTAAGAAAGTACTTTCTAGAGGTGGAGATGTGGCTTATCGGTTCAGAGCATTTACAGCTTTCACAGAGGACCAGGTTCAGTTTGCAACTTCCACACCCATCTATAGCCCACAACCATCGATAGCTTCAGTGCCAGGGGACACAATGGCCATGGCTCTAGGGAGAAGTGATGGCCCAGGACACCAGACAGGCACATGATGCATACACATACATACATTCAGACAAAACACTCATACCCATAAAAATGAATAAATATTTTGAAAGGGAGGAAGAGGGGAGACTGAGAGCCTTTTATCCATAGGAATCACAACTCTCAGAATAAATAACAGCAACAGGGATATGATTTCCAGGAATGGAAGTGATTTTGTCCCCATGTGGATACATTTTTTATACCCCCTACAGAAGCCAGCATGGTTGTCACACCACTCATACATGGTGGGCTCCATTGCTCTATCTGCTGTCATAAGGCAGCATCCGATTCCTAAACCTTGATATTGTCAGTTCAGAATTCTTCAGCAACCTTTGCTTCATAATTGATGGTTTTTAAAGGGCAAGCTTTGCTTAGAACCATGTAAAAGGCAGAATGGTGGAAACTACACTGATCTAAAATGATTTAATTTTCTAGAAAATTACTACTTTCTACAAGCTGTGTAAACGTTAATTAAAAAGACAAGGAGGTCTATTCTTTCTTCTCGAACACATGAGACATGCTAGACTCTTGGGATACTAGTTGGGGGGGTATGACTGAAAAGATTGCCATTTCTAGCAAAACTCTAAATATAATTGAGGTAGAATGATTATTGCTGTGTTTAACGACCAACAAGTAACCAACATTTACTGCTTTTTCCTGGAGAAAGCCTTAGCTTCAGGTTTTGTGTAAAGCCAAGTTACCAAGTGAACTCAGAGCTATGTACGCTAAGCCAGAAGTTAGGACAATGAACCAGTCAGAGTCATATATCAAGATATTCTCAGCAAAACAGCACCCAGATGAGAATTCCTGTGATGCTCACTGCAACGCTTTTGTCTCTATGTTCAAACAAAATGTCCCAACGCTTTATGAAGGAATATCTTGGTAGTGTCTACTGCAAGTTCTCTAGAGCCAGATTTGGAAGACTGGATCCAGAAGAGGGAGGGGCTGAGAGGAGATGAGAGTAAACACTGCATCTGGACATGAGACACACTAGGGCCACAAAAGACTTTTCTACCTAAGTAGCTATGAGCACTACTCTCTTTCTTTGGCCTTCTTCCTCCCTAAACTTCCTCTCTCCACTTTAGATGGCTTTCCAAGCTTTGTTCTCAAACCAGTGGGCAAAGCCATCTCAAAAAAACATGTTTGATTCACAGCAATTTAATGTATTTTGTCCTGCTTGTAAAGGGGTTTAGGTAGCTTGGCTGTTAGTGATTTGGGCTGTCGTCAAGACTGGCCTGTTGTGGTTAGATAAAAACCAACTTTAATAATGAGGATTTGCAGAGGAACCTCTTTTTTTTTTTTTTTTTTTTTTTTTTTTCAAATTCAAATATCTGCATGCGTTCCTTCCAGGCATACTGCAAACTCCAAAGGAAGCTTGTGGTAGCTACAACCTCACAAGCAGCCTTTTGCAATAGAATTCTAACGTAATGACAGAAAATTAGGAAGTGAGGGGTAGGATTTGTAGATAGCATAAATGCTTATGATTATACATACACCATTTGAGTGTGTGTGTTGTTCAGCCATATTTAACTATACAAACTGATTGTGTGTGTGTGTGTGTGTGTGTGTGTGTGTGTGTGTATTGTGTGAATGATCTGGTTTGAAACATGCTATAAAATTTGCCTGTGTACACATATAAGCACAGTGAAACACAGTATTGTGTATATAAATATCAGGTCTTATAAAATACTCTTGTAGTTGTTTGTTTAGGGACACATTTGGATTGAATGAGTTTTGTAACAATCATAGCTTTCAAAGCCATACACACAGAAAATAACACTTTTTAGTTGTATAAAGTCTGTTTTTTGGCAGTTCTTTTAACACATCTGTCATCGCCTAAGCATTGCTTAGCCAAAGCACTCAGACTTGAAATTTGAAATTGTCAATATACTCTTCTAATCTTTAAGTCTTAAATTATCTCAGATTAGCTACCATTATTCTGTGCTTCCAGGATTTAGGGGCTAAAAAACAAAGAAAGAAAATACAACTCTTCATTTTC